TTGGAGGCCATTGCTATTAGGTTGGAGGCCATTGCTATTAGGTTGGAGGCCATTACTTGTAGGTTGGAGGCAATTGCTATTAGGTTGGAGGCCATTGCTATTGGGTTGGAGGCCATTGCTAGTAGGTTGGAGGCCATTGCTTGTAGGTTGGAGGCCATTGCTATTAGGTTGGAGGCCATTGCTATTAGGTTGGAGGCCATTGCTTGTAGGTTGGAGGCCATTGCTATTAGGTTGGAGGCTCATGATAGCTGTCATGTTGTCAGTTTTTGGAATCGCCAAATCTTGCGTGTGGACGATGTGCGCAACGCTGGAAAGCTGAGCGCCCCGAACCCCATGGCATTATGGAGCACAGGAGTGGTGGCGCCGTGGGCGAGGAATGCTTTGGTCCAGGACCAAGGCATGTGTTGTTTATGTGGTTTTCTCCTTTTCGTTTCTTGTGTGTGTGTTTTGGCAACCTCTAGGAACCGCATGGAACAATTTGCGAAGGATTCGTTCGCGATCTTTCACCTTGGCACTGACAGCTAACCCGTTTACCATACACCGGATCCTCGCATTATGCGGTGTTGAGACAGTCTGAGGTTCCAACATCTCCGGCGCGGAGGGGGCACGTCAGGGAACCTTGGATTGGATCACCACCTCCCTGCCCAACCAGTCATGGACATAGAATGGCAAGAATAGTCTCTTCATCCAAAAATGTTGTTTGTTCATGTTTGTTCCTGGGAAACAACGATTCCTTCAAAGCTATTCGATTCATTCAAGAACTGCAGGTGGCCCAGCGGTGCTTTAATGATCTCCACAGCGGCCCAGTTCAAGCGAGGTCACTCTGCAACCTTCTACGCCACGCTTTGGTCCATGGTGAGTTCGTGGAGGTCGCATCATAGTATTGTTTGCTGGGTGGTCTAATTGTCCAAAGAGCTTCCAAAAACAAAAAACGTTTTGTTCTAGAACTTACCGTGGCAGCACTACTTGTCGAGGAGCGTTCAGAAGCATGTCAACCGGAGGAGCGCGGTGTTGGCAAGCTAAATCACGAAAGAGTAGAGCGAGAGAGTTGATACTGAATGAATCTGAATGATGCTGATACTCCAGGAGTGGAAGTTGAGAGATGCCAGTGTGGTGAGCGGTCGTGTAGCTTAGTCAGAGCGATCCAGACCCTGAGCACTTCGGTGGGAGATGCGGAATCGCGAAATCAAACAATCCATAACACTCCTTTTCAAGAGAATGGCACCGTGACCGTAATGGCACCGTGGCCGTGACCAGAGCCAAATCAAGCGATTGAACTACTCGTAGGTCTGGTGTCAGCGCATGCGCCCGGTCCGCACCATAAATCGGAGATTGTAACTGCCGAAGGCATTTCAATACTCAAGGTTTCTCCTTATTTTGGACACCAAAGTGGCAGGACAGGAACCAGCCCTGGGCACACTTGTTTGTTTTTTTTTGCTTTTCACTGTGTTGCGTCTGGCTTGCCTTTGCTTGCTTACCGATGTTGGGATGCTGTTATTGTTACCGTTCGTGCCAGTCTGAAGAGGAATGCAGAGCTTCACGGTGCTTGTATTCTTTGTTGGGCTTGTGGCCAGTCAGGACAGGTTACGTCTTCATTGTCTCCAGATATTGCAGGGCTATTCAACATTGCAATTGTCATGTTGATATTGTCTCAAGGACGCTACTAGGAGCAAAGGGCATCGCTACTAGTAGTAAGGTCAGGAGCCCCTAGTAGCAATGGACCAAGTTGGTTCAGAGCAGCAAACCCAAGAAGAGCTGTCTATAGAGTCCATATACTTTATAGTAAGTCAAATTCCAGTCGTAGGTCTGCGAACTGTGCTGCCATATTCCGAAGTCGGTCCCGACTGACCGGAAGAAGTGTTGCGCTGTTGATTTCAGGAGCTTGGCAGCAGGAAGTGTGAATTCATCAAGAGGGAGATGCAGGGTGGTCACAAGGCAGCAAGGCTTAATCAAGAAGGTGCCTACTTGATTAAGTAAGGGCAACTAGTTAGCTTCTAGTAACTGGACGCAGGATAGCTCACGCTTCCTTGAAGAAGCACTCGCACTATTCATGTGGTTCCTAGATTTTTAGGGAAACTTATAAACATCTCGTTCTCGTTGGCCTCACATGGTCAAGCATAGACTGACTATTTCCTTGTTGGAGGCCTGGATGCAGTCGCAGCCATGGTTTCAAAGGCTAGCCAGGCCATAGGGCTGAATTGGGCTGTCTCGGAAGAGGCTGCAAACATGGTGACAACATGTGACAACATGTCAACGGTAAACCGAATCTCCCACGCTTTCTGTCGTATTTCACATCTATCGCCCGCGTGCCTTGGCTTGTGTATCTTTTAGTACGGGAGTTTGCAGAGTCCCTATTCGGACCTTCCATCGGATTCGCGGGATGAAGAGCTTTTACACAAACCAAAAACTGGATTTGGTGCAAGCAGTTTTTGGATGCAAGGAAATTCTAAATTGATGTATATAATTAGTATAACAACTGAACACTTTGCATACAGTCTGGAAACAACCCCATCGCAAGGGGATGCTCTCAAGCCTAGGCATAGGCTTTCGCCCGCAGCCTTCTTTGCAGTAGAATGTGACGGTGAGAATTATGATATATTATGGGGCTTCAATGGTTTGCTGCAGGAAGTGCGGAGGTTGGGTACCAGCCTGGCGGCAAAGTTTGGAATGGTACTTTGTGCACATGGTCTGGGAGCATTTCAATATTGAGCAGGAATAACAAATTCGTTTTCCGCAATCAGTATTGCGCAGGCAACAAGCGCAAAGGCATAGAACAAACCTTCGCACGCGTTTGGTCCCAATGCGCCAAAATAATTATGTGCCACACAATTAGTCTAATCTAAGCATGTCTGTTTGGTTCAAATGATTTGAACCTCCAGTCAGCCAACCTAGGGGGACTGAAGCCAACTGGAAGAGCTACAATGAAAACAAGGCTCTCACACCATGTTTGGCCATTTTGCGTTGCTTCGCCAAGTTGTTTGCCCGCCGATCCAAACCTGCAAGACTCCTGATTCTAGAGCGAACATGGGTCTGGCCCTCGTCAATCTGTAACGTTTAGGCAATCTTACTGTACGCTTTTGGAGTTGTCTTGAGGTTTTGCTGTGGTAGGCTAGTTTGGGGACCTTTGGCAATATTGCTTGGTCTTTGGGATATGAGCCATTTTCATTTCGGCACAGACGTACCAATCCAAGAATAGCCAGACAGCTCACAAAATGGGGCTATGTCTATGGCCAAGACAAGGCATACACCACCACCCATCCACCCGCGGATTTCCTCTATTTGGAATTTCGCTTGAGGGCCTTTCAACCTGTTCTGGTTGCTGCGGAGGACAGCTCATTACTTCTTCTGTCATGACCATCACTATGCCCTGTCATACAGAGTGATCCAGTTGCATCCTTCGAGTGTACGCAGCCTCCTAATTACTCTTCCAGATCTCATCTTTTGTTGTATGTTTCTTTGGAAGTTGTAATTTTGATAATATTGGGTTTATGAGAGGCAAAGCAAGAGTCGCACCGCACAGATGAACAGTTGGGTTTGGGACGGCTGAACCGCTCCAGGCTTTGTCAGCTTCCCCAACATTCTATGGCGCCTCAGCTTAATGAGTCTTTCCACTTGAGGTACTTCATAGAAATCTGCTACAGGTCTATCACCCAATGATGGAGCGCCCCATGGTCTTCCATCGGCCAATGCAAATGCGTGCTGAACCTGCTATGATGGGAATGCCTATGCGACCCCAGATGCACATCGAGGTGCGGTAGATTCAGATGAGATTGTCAGATGCCTGACAGTTGCGGGCATTGACTGGTGCATTAGCCCCAGATTGTCGTGGTTTTGTCTAATACGTACTGCTGTAAACTTGACAAGACGCGACGTTCTTGCAGAGTGGCCAAGTGCGTCATGGACCCTACGATACCCCACGACAATACTCGCATTGCCAATCATTTTGTTGTTGTGCATAGAATGATCTTTCAATGCCTGACATAATTGCATTATATATATATATACATATTACCTCTATGCATGTGCGAAGCCGCCAGAGAAGGATGCGGAGACAGAAACAGCATGTTTCTGGTGCCAGGTTCCCGCACAAATTAGTGGTGGCCTGAAGAGCGCCTTTGATATGGCCAGGGAAGCTGCATCATCTCCGGCTGGCGTGGCCTGACATGAGTAAGTGGGCACTGGATGCGTCGGCCTGTTGGGGACGAAAAACCAAGAATTGGCAAATGATGTTTTATGATGTTTTCATAGTTGTTCAAAAGGGTTTGACCTGTTCGATCTTGTTTGAGAGAGGGGTTGAAGACGTTTGACTTTGAGTGCGAAGGTCCAAAACAAGTGCATACGGGACTGACCGGACCATTGACTTTGGTGCTTGTTCAAGCCAAACATAAAGTTGTATTGAAGATTAATTAATTGGTGAGCTGAGGCTGAATTGCAGAATGATGCTCAAAAGCTTGCTGAAAAGGCGAAGACTGCGTGACTTGGCAAGCAGGCCAAGGTGTCCAGGTCAAAAAGATTCAAAAAGTATCAATTGAAAGGGGAGGAAGAAAGAACACATCATAAGTCTAAATAAAGTTCAATAGAGGACACAAAAGTATAGAAGTTCAAATCGAAGTCTTAAAATAGAATCCAAAAGTATATACTGTAGGGAGAAAGGACAGGACAGGTTCTTATTCTTTTTCGTCCGACAGTGCATTTGGTTTGATCGCCAAGGTTTGAGCATCAAGACACGCACGAGCTGAAGGAAGGTGCAACAGCTGCTAGCAGAAAACAGAATGCGAGTAGACACAGGGAAAGCTCAATGTCAATGCAGAAATAGATTCTTGCAGAATCAGGTAGACACATGAGGGCTCACATGAGAGATTCTGGAAGACTACGATTCCATCGTGTGCAGAGTTCAAGCAAGAGCCCCCCCCCCCGCCTCAGACAGGGGGAGCTTGCTTGAAGAACCTGAACTGGTGCTTGCTAGACAGCCCTCAGATCCCCTCATTACTAGCTAGCCTGTTTTAAACCCCGCACGTCTCGGCCTAGGCCGGTGTACCCCTTACCTCCCTCAAGAAGAAACACCTCCAGGGGCCGAAGGGTTTGACGATGTTTGACGGTTTGAATGGATTCGAGTGGACTAAAAGCGAGCAAAGCTTCAGTGCTTAAGGAGTTCGTCAAGAACCTCCAGCACTTGTGGGACAAGAATACTAACGAGGACAGGCAACAGGTAGATTTCCCACCCAAAGAAGTGTGAAGTTTCGATGTACACTCTGAAATACTTTGAACATTATCACTGAAACGACTCTCAGCGCTCATCTCTTTGACTTCCCGTGGGAAAAGGTCCCTTCGCCACAGGACACGAAGAGGAAAGCGCAATTGCTCATGGGCAAAGCGGAGAAGCTTCTGAGCGGGCAGGATCAGGACTTCCAAGACCTTCCAAATCTCACTCATATCCAACACACAAATCTCGGTGCTGCCTTTTTGCGGGAGACTTGCTAGCTAGTTGAGCGCAAGAGCAAATAGGTTGGCTAGTTTGGCACTATTTGACGGGAAGGATCTGCAGAGCACTGGCCTGAAGATTGCTCGGAACTTGACCTTTGTCGTATCTGATTTGCCACACCAAGACACGATGGAGAAAATTTCTGAGGCCAAGATGGCCTCTGATCAAGTGGAGAAGAGCGTCCCTCAGGTGCCAATGTGAGCATATCAACTGGTCGCCACAACAATGTTCACTTTATGTAACTCAGACCAAGCTAAAGTTGATCAAGCTCCATGAGGCAAAGGGTCTTCTGAAGGCTGCTTTGCAACAGCAGGGTGGCAGCGACCTGGCCCAGAAGGCCTGGATATTTTGTCTGGATTTTGTCCGAGTTACAAAGCCAATCTGCACGACGCAAATTTCCTGGACAGGCCGAGTTGGCTTATGATCAGCTAAAGAAAGCTGGTTTGGAGAAAAAGGCCTCTTCTGCTCTATCATATAATTTGTCTCCTTGAAGTTCTAACATGTTCCAACCTTCCACCCATCTGTGGGCTTCTAGGTTACTCGCAGGATTGAATTGTCAGCTGAGAGCTGTTTGAGCTTTGCCAGAGGCAGAAGAGTTGGCCGAGAAAGCTGAGAAGAAACTAGCGATGGAGTTTAAGAACAGTGTTCAAGTGTGAGCAGCCTGAAAGCTTGCATGTGGTGTCAATCTGGGAGCCGTCAATGTGGTAATTTGCCACAATGAATGATAAGCGTTGGACTGCATTGGTTGGATGAGACCGGATGAAACCACGGAGCTTCGCCCACATCCACGTTGCTTTAAGCACAAGCAGCATGCGCAATCTGTACAGCCATGTAGAAAAGTCACCTCGGCCAAGGCCGGCTTTGTGGCTGGTAGGTTTTCTCACGGGACTGCACCTCCTTACAGCAGAGAAGGATGTTTGTCGCGTGTATTTCGGGCTCCATGGAGCTAGTTGACAGAGTCCCAGCTTCCATGAGCCCATAGACATCCAACTTGTGGTAATATACTGTGCATAATATATCATAATATCAACATCAGACCTTTAGGCGTTTGATGAACAATTGAAGCTGCTATATGATGCGCAAAGCTTTCAACATGTGCTTTACCGTATGTTGACCTCCTTCGCGGAGAAGCTGGCATTGTTGATCTTTGGCCAAAGACACTTGAAAACAGCGCTGCTGTAAGCAGGAGCAAAACATGTGGTCAGATGTGCTAGCGATGATCAGCACGGCGCGGTGGAATTGTGTTTGTTGTATTTGCATTGATTACTTTATTGACGTTTTTGTCGGTGTTGTTTCTAGGTCCAACATTGCTGGGAACCATCAGTAACCATTCAACGATTGGAATGTGACGGTAAGGTCCAGTTGGTGAGACTGGCTCACCTTGACTCGATCGACTCGATCAAGGTCACAACTTGACGACACTTGCTACTGAACTTCGACTCCTAGGCACAAAGCAGCGGCACATGGAGGGCAAAAAGAGGTCAAAGTATAGTCAAATCCTCCAGCTGAGGGCTCAAGTAGACACATTGATTGTTCGGACTAGTCTTGTTTGGTTTTGCCAGATTGCCTGGTCGTTGCCTCGTTTTGGACGGTGGATCTTCCGCTTCTGTTGCGTTGGTCAGGTGGGAATGCCTTCTCTCAGGAGTACGGTGCATTGCCTTCGTTTGGGGCTCGGAAGATAATGATTTGAGCATGACATATCTGACCAACCTTGGTGAGTCTTTTGGACTTTTGTTTGCTTTCGCCTATTGGTATTGCAATGTATTGCATGCTTTACTGTAGAGCTTTTGGGGAAACAAGTACCAGAAATCGGATGCTCAACGAGGCGCGAGCTGCTTGCAAGAGGTGCTGCACGCCGATCCATGCGGCGGTGGGTACTCTGCCTAAACAAGGAATTGAAAGTCGAAGTTTGGGCAAGCAAAGCGAATCAACTAGGTCACTCCTTTCACAATCTCGATGTTTCGATATGTTTCACATTCCTCTAAATCCGGCTTAGCTTGTCCTTGCAAGATCTCGCAAGCCTGACACCATTTGGTTTGCTGGAGTTTATTGAAATGACGATCTGAGGTCTTTGTCACGAACATCCGCGAGAGCCTGAGAGAGATGCTCAAGATTAGGTTTTGACGTCGGGTTTGCTTTTGAACTTCAAGCCTTCAAGCCTTCAACTGAAGTCCGGATAGCCTTGCGGTTTGCAGATGCTTTGCCAATTGCACAATGAGTCACTCAGCAAGTCCATGAGCCAGATTTCTTGGGTGTCGTTGAACACGCTCATATGCATGAATATAACGGCTGTTCCCTTGCGACCCTGAGAGACGAACACCCTGAACTTCAGTGTGTTTGAACACCCAGTTTGTGTATTGAAGGAGATTTTGAGGCGGAAGCACAAGAATGATACAAAAGACTGAAACAATAAAATAGTCCTTGTATGTATCACTCTCCAGCCTAGTAGGCGCTCCTTATTCTCAGGCATCTCCCAGGCTTGCCATGGCAGAACCAGTTCTCTACGGCAAAGTTGAGGAGGGGCAGGGGACAGGTGCGCAGTTCTTTGCGAACGGTGACCAGTTGCAAGCGGGGGAGGTGGCATTGGTGCAAGCCTCAGATTGCAGCAACCTGGTCACAGAACACAATGAACATCAATGACCTCATTGAAATTTGTTATACAATTACTAATATAGTATCAGTATAAGGATAACTTAACATAACTTAACCATGTTAAGTATGTATAGTTAAACTATATACATATATATGTAATATTTCCAAGATTGTTTTTACCGCTCTGACACCTTAACGCCTGCGTGTCTTGAAAGAGAGACAGCTAGTCCAGGATGATTTGCGTAGGGTGGCGCTTGATGTTGATGGGGATAGGTTATTTCATATTGCTATATATGTATTTCAGTATTTCTATTGTTTGTATCGTGTGTCCTTTGTTAAGTCACAGGGTTTGTGTGAGAGCCATGAAATTCTCATCAGGTAGATGTTGCTGCTGCCTCCGCTTCACCAGCAGAGATCCCCGAGCAACAAAGGGAGGGTCCATGGGCTATTTGTTGCTGGTGCTCATAGGATGGATGATCGCCGTGCTCTCAGTTTACCTGTCTCGGAATTCCTTTCCAACGCCACAGCCCGCTGACAGCACAACCTTTTCGGAAGAGCGAGCAAGGAAAATCTTGCTGAGCGTACAGGCGACAGGCGAGAGTGCTTGAAATGTCATGAAATGCCTAGTGGGATATTAAGATGGACCCGGGTCAACCAGGGCATTCAATGCTCACCCCTCACATTTCTGCATAATCATAGAGGACAGATGAAGAGAAAAGAGTCTAAGTCTAAGACGTTTGCTTCATCACTCCGATTATTTTCCCATTCAGCAGGTGCTCACCCGGTACTATGGTCGGGAGGTGACTTCAAAGCAACGTCTCCCAACATAGCCATCTTCAACCTTTTTCGGGATGAGATCCTGCGCATCCAGGCAGATGCTTCTCAACAGGTCCAAGTGGAGCTGCAGGTGCCATCCACCGGAAGCGTCATCAGAAACTCATCCTATTTCGATTACATCGCGGCCAGACTTCGCGTGAGCAACGCACACTACCCGAAGGCCATGTTGCTGACGGCTCATTTTGATTCTGCTGTACCAGATGGTGTTCCGGATTCTGAGTGGGCGCTGCCTTCCATGGGTGATGGAATGGCTGATGATGGGGTGGGTTGCGCCGCCGTTTTGGAAACCTTTCGTGTTTTGGCAACAGCTCAAGAGCCCCCACTGGTGGACGTGATTCTTTTGCTGACCAATGCAGAAGAAAGAGGATTTGTAGGCCTTGACTCCTTCATGAGTCACAGCCCATGGGCAACTGATGTCAGCTTCTTTGTCCAGATGGACCAAAGTGGATCTCGTGGTCATGCTTTGGCTGTCTTCGGGGATGCGATGTCAGGTGCGGGGAACCTAGCTCAAAACATCTCAAAACGCTAAGATGCGGTGATTATGGTGCAATGGTTGTTCGTTTTACGATTTGTTAGAACAGTTGTTGCAATTCGTACCCAAAAGCGCCTTCAGGCTGTCCAACCTTTTGGTTCAGATAGCGCGAAATTGCTGTTGGAAGATGTTGAAGGTCTATTGCTCACACTACAATTGATGTGTCCTTCATGTTTTGTCGGGGTTCGGCCATGTTGAACAGTTGTGGATGCTTTGTCGATGAGTTTTGGAATTAACAAATTGGGAACGAATGAACATGTGGCAAGTTATTGTGAACATGGACAGATATGTACATGAAGTATGTGCTACTTTAGAGCTGTTAATTGTGAACTGCATCTAACTTTTTCCACTTTCAACTTAGACTTTGCCAAAAGCTACTCCCTGCAGGTGAAAGAGTTGCTGCATTCGCTTACCATGCTGGAGCTGTTCATCCACACACCAGCGTTCTTTTGCGTGATTTCCAACCCTGGGAAGATATGTCAACAGATGGTGTGAGGCTGCGATCTGCTTATGGCATTCCTGGCATAGGCATGTACATGATGGAGGACCGATGTCCCTATCACACGGTCTATGATACCCTAGAACACATTATGCCTGGTAATCTCCAGCATCACGGAGACAACTTTGTGGGAATCAGCAATGCACTGACCAGGAATGAAGAAATCTTGGCTTCCTGGGCAAATGGCGAGTCCGATTTGTCCGGTGATGCGTACAGCATAGACCTGCTATCATCTTCAATGCTTCTGTTGACCTCAGCATCAATGGGCGTTCTTTACGGCTTCTTGACGATTGCTACCTTGACTGTCACCCTGTGCCTTGCTTGCTTGGAGCCCAAAGGCACTTTGGCGGCTCTAGCAGATACAGGGCTGCTAGCCCTTGCTCACTTCGTTTCCATTGTCTTTTCTATTCTGGTCAGCTTCGCCATTTCTCTTGTGGTCACCGGAAATTGGGGATATTGGTACGAACGTGATGGCATGGCCATTTGGCTTTACGTGTTGCCTTGCTTTGCGATTGAGCTTCTCTTTGGCCGAGTCTTGCTCTTGCGACGCTTCCACGGACTCTCACCCCAGCAGCTACAGTGGCGCTCCACCTGTGCTACCTTGGTGCTTTTTGTCCCAATCGCTTTAGCTTTGGCTCTGGCAGGTGCACCCAATTGACAAAAGGGGGTCTCCAGTCAGTCTCGAGTGTTTGTCAATGGTTGTCATACTACTGGTATCATTGTAAAGAAGTTGTGTTGAAAGCCTCAAACTCTCCGCTTTGCGTTGAACCCGAAGTTGTTGCCCCTCGGTCCTTTGGTGCTTTTCCAGGTCTCCACTTGTCAATCTTGTTTGCAATGTGCATCCTCACTCGCTTGAGTGGCTTCACGCTCCGCGTTTTGCTTGGTGTGGTCGCGGCTCTCAGCAAGTGGGGTAGAAAGGATGGCTGCACAGTGCTGGTCTCAAGGAGCCTCGGGGAGAGCCTCGGTGATGCCTTTCAGGTCTTTCCATATCTTCCCTGGGCTGCTTGTGGAGCCACACTTGAGCTATCAGTTGCGCTTTTGGGCTCCATTTATTTGTTGGATGCCATGCGCTTTGCAGTGCTAAACTTCACCACCAGCTTCGGGGTAGAAGGAGATGTACTGGGTGGGGAGCTCACACTAGGCCTCTACTGTGGGCTCTTTGGGTCCTTGGCAATCATGCAGAGTAGTGCAATCCAGGCGCCTCCCAGGATTTTGCAGCTTTCTGTGACTGTGTGAGATTTTGTTGGAAGCTTTGCTGCTGGCTTAACAAACTGTAGGATCATTCATGAATCATGAGCATTCTAACATAACTTGTTCTGCTCTTTCCATGGAAAAGCACGCATGTCAATCAGTTAATCAAAGGAAGTTTAGAAGGAACTTCCGTGTTACGAACATTTACATCACTCATCATACACCACTCATCATACACCACTCATCACCACTCGTCAAACCACCACTCATCATACACCACTCATCAGATTTCGTGGCAGGTGCGATACAAAAATGCGTTTTCGAGAGATAGCGGACGCACGAAATGCTGTATTTTTCAATAGAACCGGTGGCTTCGAACCTGGCAAGTCTAGCTCTGCGGAACGACTGTTGCGAGACAGTCTCGGGTCATGCTCGGTCGGCCGTCCATTGTGATTAGGTTTTCACTTGTCTCTTGAAGTGCAGATTTCGTGGCAGGCGCAGCACTTTGTGAACCTCCATGTGCAGATTTCGTGGCAGGCACAGCACTTTGTGAACCTCCATGTGCAGATTTCGTGGCAGGTGCAGCACTTTGTGAACCTAGGTGTGCAGATTTCGTGGCAGGTGCAGCACTTTGTGAACCTCCATGTGCAGATTTCGTGCCAGGCACAGCACTTTGTGAACCTCCATGTGCAGATTTCGTGGCAGGCACAGCACTTTGTGAACCTCCATGTGCAGATTTCGTGGCAGGCGCAGCACTTTGTGAACCTAGGTGTGCAGATTTCGTGGCAGGTGCAGCACTTTGTGAACCTCCATGTGCAGATTTCGTGCCAGGCACAGCACTTTGTGAACCTCCATGTGCAGATTTCGTGGCAGGCGCAGCATCTGGGGAGCTGGAAGCTGAGAACTGGCGGCTCTTGTAGTACAACTTTAGTACGCGGATCAATTTGTGAGCTGGAAGCTGAGAACTGGCGACATTGTAGTACAACTTTAGTGCGCGGAGCAATTTCTGAGCTGGAAGCTGAGAACTGGCAACTTTCTAGTATAACTTTAGTACG